ATATAAAAATAAAAAAAAATAAAAAAAATATATAAAAATTATATGTGTGTGTGTGTGTGTGTGCTTTTATAAATACACAGCATTAAAATAATGCTATAATGCAGTCATCCCCAATTCTCACTTTGACTTACACAGGGGAGGGCATAGCTGGGAGGTGAAGCTGCTCTATACAGCAGACCACAGGCACAGTACTTGGAGTCTTAACCAGGAGAGGGAACAAAGTCCTTGTATTTCCAGTGCATGATATCAATCACCAAGGTGGTTTAGTTATAAGACTTGTTAAGACCAGTTGTATTACTTCATTGGGCCTCATTGTACACACAATGCTATAAAGCAACTGTATAAAATAGAGAGGAAACGTTCTTTGTACTTTGTGCTTATACAGAGACGATCAGCTCATCTAGTTCTTGTTGAAATGGTTTATCTCTCCAGCTAAATAGTTGTATTAACAGTATGTATCTTCATTCCACATCTTTTATTGGTGGTGCACTACTGCAAACAATAGTCATTTACGCTCTTTCTGCCCCCAAGGAAGGGTTAACAGGGGCAGAAAGTAAAAGATGCCAAAGGTGTCTTCTAAATATAAAGCCTTTCCCTGCACGGATTTACAAGGACATAAATTATGGCTGTGATTGCTGTGCACATATTAGTGGTAAACAGCTGGACTCTAGAGCCCTATTTAAGTGTGAGATTTTGTCCCAAAGTCACCAGAAAATCCTTCCTCCTGGAAGAGGGAACTGGGGGCGCTTGGTGAACATCTTTTTTCATTTGCACAGGGATGTAATCCAGCAGTGTGACCGGGTCGGCCAGGGTCTTCATTGTGACAAACTTCAGCTATGTACTAACAGAGCAAATTCTTGGAGGACACACTGATCCATGTGCATAGATCATTAGATAGATGGACAGATACATTGATCTAGATGAGGTTGGATAGAGGAGGATGAAAATAGATAGATAGATAGATAGATAGATAGATAGATAGATAGATAGATAGATAGATAGATAGATAGATAGATAGATATGAATGAGGTTGGATATATGGGGATGAAATAAGATAGATAGATAGATAGATAGATAGATAGATAGATAGATAGATAGATA